CAGGAGAGAATTCAAGACCTCAAGGTGCAACGAACTTAAGACTCGAACAAAGGAGAAACAGTGGACAGTCGCGCTCTCCGATATAGCCGACTGGCCAAGAATCGAAACCGTTGATGAGTTTAGACTGCGTACCGGACACGATTGCCTGCCAAAACACCTTCACATATTGGGAGTATACACTCAACCCACATGCCAGCTAAGTAACCTACAGGAGGAAATGGAGAAGATCCACCTGATTTGGTGTCCAGCCCTAAAGACAACGACGGAAACCCAGAGATAATGGGAAGCAAGAAGACAGCTAATGAACTGTCATTAATTAACTGCTATATATGTACCCCCCCCCCACCCTTGGGGGAAGCTGAAGTCAAAGTTTAAGGGCTAGTGATTAATATCATAAAGCCTGCCATTTGAAATAATAATAATAATAATAATACAACATGAAAGAGACGGAAACACGTCCATCATTGGGTAAAACGAGGGAATTTTTGAAAGCAATTAACTCTCAAAATCAATCAACGAAAGTTTGAATGCCCAAAAGGTATTACTATACATTTAAAAATTATAGCTATGACAGAGGTTATGCCAGGAATTCTTTAATCAATTACCTATAATTGAAAAACAATAAAATCATATCAATCAAATGACATAACTTTTCCATTAGAATTCATAAGCATAAAAAAACAAGGATAAATGTTTCAACTTGATTTATAAACTACATTGAGTTATGTCAACGCGCATTATAGTGATGTAAATATTAATACATCAATTGAACGAAAGGAATACCCTTTAATCAATGAAAGGTAATTCGAGGAAAAATTGTTTTGAAGCACTATTTATCTCTAAATGTCACACACGTGATATATTGCATGAAATTTCAACTTAAATTTTTAAAAAAACGATCCTTCAGTGTACCAACTCCACAAAGGTTCAACAAAAAGTGTTTTTTTTTCAATGTGTACGCGGGTGTGTGAAAATTAACAATCAGGAATGAATTCTTTTAGCAGCCAAATTAGAAGGAATTGTAACGGCAGGATGGAAAAGCCACGGACATCATCACTGTGTAGGGGGTAAAGCAAGTTAGAATCTAATTTTAACGCGACTAAGACAGGTGTGTGTGTGTGTGTCAGGAATAGAGAGACTTGATGGCATTTCATTTTTGAAGGCAATTTCTTACCACGAATATCGAAGTTTATATGAACTCGGACATCAGCCAGGGTGAAGAATATGAGACCGATAATCATACAGGCTACAGCCACGTAATCCACCAATTTATATCGCTTTCCTACAAGGAAAATGCAAAGGAGTACATGTACCAAGAGGAACAGAATTCATCAGAATATTGGAACAATTCAAAAAGCAAAGCAATGGTGTCAGGCTTGGTCAAAGTACCATCAGCCTTATATATATATATATATATATATATATATATGCCGTTAAGAAGCCACACGGACACACTCACACACACCTTGAAGTGTAATGCTGACAATCATGACAGGAATGAGTTTGCAGCATTTAAAAATAACCTGAGTAGGATAATTGAGGTAGACAACAGCGGCATTTGAAAGAAGAATAGTGCCAGTAGACGTAATTCCAATCAAGCAATACATTTTCAGGGGAAATCTAAACGAAATCATACGATACAAAGAGGACATACTCTTTACTATATGTCACTCCAATTAATTTGCTCTCAATAATGGATATAATACAGTAGAGACCGAATTGATAGGCGGTCAGGAGAAGAAAGTTATCACTAAGTCCAGGAGTTTTGAAAAGGTATTCCTGAAAGGCAAAGCACATAAAGGAAGCGTGAAATTATTACTTGAGTCCAACCATAGATGATGTAAAGGATAAAAATTCCAACTGAACCGATCATAAAAATGCATCCCTGAGGGAGGTGAGAAAGATCCATTCCAAATATAAGAACAGGACTCGTTTGAACATTTCCATTGCCTTAAAATGAAATGAAATAAAATCAAAAATTTTTAAAAACGTACGATTAGAATTCTGCGTCATATTCTTTCGACCTACAATAGGGAGAAAGTGGGAGTCGTTTCTATTATTGTCAAAAGTAACGATTGATTAGGAGCATGAACAGTTGGAATTAAAAATAAATATATTAGAGATGGAGAAGTGAAAAATACGCACGTTTAGTGTTGGCTGAACGTGAAACGACAAAGCTAAATACCAAATTAATAGGTTAAACATTATATGAAGACGAAGCGAAAGTCTTATAGAATTAATCAACGATATTTAAAGCATAGGAAAAATTGAAATCGAATAGGAAACAACCAGAAATGAAACAATTCATTAAGATTTAACCGTCAAAAGCAAGAGTTTTGAACACAAAAAAAACTGTGTTTGAGGTGAGTTATAACTGTATAAAAATATCATACTGCATTATCCAATAAATTCTAAACTAGATAAAATTTACAAAAATATAATGCCATTTAGTGAAGCTAAAACTGCCAAATAGTTAACTTCTGTGTTAATTGAACATAATATAGTCAATATTAGACGATGTCATACAAATATATTATTGTTCATAGGAAAGATAATTAACCTATACAGCTAGCGAAGCAATCAAAGTGTGCGCATATAACTAACACACAGATGGCACAGAACAAACTCACCAATACGCATTCTCGTCTTGACCTATCGATAATTTAAACAAATTACTTAAGTTACCTTTTAAGCATAATCTTAAACGGATTAATATTTGACAAACTTGATTCAAATTTTCCTAAAAATATTCAATCGAAAAAATATTTAAGCAAATCATTCATTTTTAAGAGCAAGTGGGCTTTTGAATAACTCTGACCCTATATGCTCGTCCTCATTAACATAAATTTACAATTTCTAAATCTAGATAGCTCAGATCGTTTAATTTTTCAAACTGTTCATTATATCCTCAAAAATAAATTTCGGCGGAAAGACTTTTAATTCTTTTAAGCAATTTAAATTTGGATACTCATTGCGAATAATTTTCAATAAGGTAGTGTGGGACACTTTACCAATGACCAGTAGAAATCCTGCTTACTCAGAAATATTTAGCTATTAATGCTCACTCGAATTATGCTAGAGATATCTGATAACTAATCGCTTTGCCAACATTACACTTCGCTATCAACTTACGTACTGAATAAGCGTATTCCGTGCTACACGTCTGTTTCCTTTATAGCTGGGCTATAGCTTAGCTTGTTCTAGGAGTCTAGCTAGATGTTGGAGAATCTGCCATAGATATTTCTGAGTCGGTCAGCCTTTACTAGGGTAGCGATCCGCTGCAGTAGAGATCTTATTCCAAAATATTGCTCGTACACAGAGGAAGTGTTAAATACCAGAGTAGGCAATCTTAAATGAGCATATCATTGGCAGCTGACCCTATCACAAGTTCTATGCATCATATATCAAGAAAAAATGTTCCATTAAATGAGTCTTTATATTTAAATACGTTGTTGTTGTAACACTAAATTTGTATCATTTTTATAAGACCCATTTTTACGCCAGTAGTTTGTGTATGGCATTTTAATGCCATGAGATTAATATTCAAATTTTAATATTTTAGATCATTTCTCGGTATTTGTTTATAGTTGCGAGGCGTTTTGGTTACAAATTAAAGCATTGGGGCGAAGGCCTTGTTAATTACTATGGTCTACGTGCTTTTTGCCTTTGTACTTATTTTATTTTCTTTGATAACGCTTTATCTATCACATTATTACGGACAATGGAAAAAGCAACCAGTTGTATGTACAATTTCATACACAATTGGGTGGTTGATATCCTTTTACTTCATTGCCGTACTTCCAATTGATATAAGTTCGGTACTAATTCCTTCAAATCTTAATTAATTTGCTTTTAGACTTTTGCCTATCAAAATGAGATTAATAATATATCTACGTTTCCAGCCTCATCTTATTCTTTTTTTGTCGATGCCCATACACTGAATTTATTTTGGATTTTTATTTATTGGTCCGCACAATTACTAACATGGTAATGAATTCTATTAGGATTGTAATTCGCTTTAGGATTATTCTTCCAATTTTTAAATCCTATGCTGATTCTGGAGAGTTCACGATGCTGGGCAAGTTTCGGTCCGCTATAGTAGATAATGCAATCATCTACGGCACATATCTTGTCATCTTTATATGTGTTATGATTTATCTTTTCGTCAAAAGAACAATATCCTTTAACTTGTAAGAATAGATATGATAAGTTTACAAAACATTCTTTAGCTCCGCTTTGAAGCTCCTTTTAATCACAACGAGCAATACGTGGGGCCTGTTTCTTGTAATTCTCTTCTTGGGATACGGACTTGTCGAAGTTCCAAGATCAATTTATCGCTTCGCTTGTCCAGATAACCGTTTACGGTTTGCTTATTTCACTTTGAGTAAACGATACCTTGAGTATATTGAAGATGAAGAAGAGTTGAAAACTGTTCTTGCAGTAAATCCCTATCCTATTCGTTATCTTCTTAACTTCTTTAAATCTCAGTCTAATTTGGGCATTTGTTTTTAGGAAATTCATGATCTGGATCAACACATTGGACCCGATCATCCTCTTCGGTCGCGAATAAACACTATAGTTTCAAAAGTATTGTTTGCATTTTCCTACTTTTATATGTTGCATTTGTAATATCGGTTATGGCTGATCTTTCATTTTATAAATCTAACCAATTTATTGCCTCTGAATTCGTATTAGTTCGCTTACCTTCATCATCTTTTAATTTAATACTGCAAGGAGTTTATATTTTAAATTTTTTTTATCAGTATCTTTTACTCGTTCTTTTTGTACCCTGGTTACAATTACCAGTGTTCAGACTCCTTCATTTTCTTGTTCTTGTTATCCGCAATGCTGCTCTTATTCTGGTTACACAGATCTAGCCCTTATCGGCGATGGGGCTTTCACTCATAATATCCCCCATATTACTTAAATTGACCGGCTAGACATTTGATTCCTGTGTTCTTACATCTAGTTCCATCAATTTGGAGTTTCTTTATTCAGTTGAGCTCCTGTTCATATCACCGCGATGAATAATAGTGCTCGCCTTGATAATAGCGCTCTGAGAGCACCGTACCACTTATTGAACTTCTTAACTGATAGTTGAGTGGGTCTAGAGCGGGACCTTAGCCATGGTCATGTGGGTTTTTTTGAGACGGGTCTGTTATTTCAGAAGTCGTGGTTTCATTTCTGGTCGGCCTCCTCTCACAATGATCGGAATAACCAATCGCATTGACTTGGTTGATCTAATCTAGAGTGGCAGACTTGGATTCTCCTCTAATCCATGATGCCCATTAAAAAATGCACCTTTATAAGTATGCTTGAGAATCGTCAACATTCCCCATATTTGTTAATGTTATGCTCTCATTAATTCCCAATAGAATCAGTGCGAGTTCGGGAATTGTTATCGCCGGATGATTCTGAGGGCTATCCTTGTATGGTATTAGTTTAAGCCACATGAGATGTTAATTATATTTTTTAATTTAATTCTTCTTTAAGGCTATTTTATGGCTTTTTATTTTAGCTACTCAGATTCTAGGAATAGGGAAAGTTGAAATTTGTACCTCGAATGAATATTATACATAGCCTGCATAGCCAATAATTGAAATGATGCCTTCCCCGCAAAATATCTCCAGGTGTGCGCAATTGGGTCCAATTGATAAACCATTGAAGCTCTTGAGTACTGCTAATATCCCTTCTTAAGCCTCCTAATCGGATGAACTATCTCACTCATTTGCTATAAGAACCTCAATTTTACCTTTTAAAGCTTGCCCTAATTATACTCAGTTTTCCTATTTCGTTAATTGTTCAAAGTACATTATTTCTACTATAGCTCTAAGTCTAATTCTGTTGGAATTCAGATAATGGAGCTACTGTTTAGGCATCAAGAATTCAAGTTGTTATGACTTACCTTTATTTTTTTCCAAAGGTAGTGGCCGTAGGAGAAATTGGTGCTGCAGTGCGTCAGAATCGTCGTGGCAACCTCGCGGAGAACGGCGGAGCAAGTGTCAGCAGCATCGCGCGCTCTCTAACCTTAAAACGTCTTGTGCAACTTCACAAACGCCTCAAGCGAGCCTACCATCACTGCAGTCGCGCTCGAGCTCTCTGGATTGTGGCCCTGCAAAGCGCTGCTGACGCTGAGGATGTTTTCAACAACTCTATTGCTGGCAGGTTTGTAAATACTACTTATTATTCTCACTTCAGTAGTGATTATTTGTTTTTTTGCAATCAAGTGATGCACATTTTTTTAACTGCCGCCCAGACAACATGTGGAGAAAATTGGGGGCTTCAAATTAACTTACTTACTTCGACGAATATTTCGTTGGTTGTGGGAGTACTTATATTACCATAATTAATTTAACAACTTCACCCAATTTTTTAACTTTCCGTTAATTTTCTCGATCAAGTTTTAGATTCCTAATGTCTAACCTGTTGTGGATATTGATCTCTTTTTTTCTTTCCCGGGAGAGAACTGGAGACAGTCACTTTATGAGTCACTAGGGTTGGTGTTTTCCGATTTGCCGTATGCTTTGAGCGGAAAAAGTTTGCTATGTCCACCTAATTTGTTCAATTTCGGTGGTGCTGTTTTATATTTATATTTCACATTCCACTTTATAAGTTGGCTTTTTTTATTCAATTGCCCTGTTCATACATCTGCTCTACTTTATGTACTGCCTATGAAGTAGTCGGCGGCTTTGTTGACCCACTAAAATTCGCATCGATGTTGTAAAGTGATGAGCTTCAAATTCAATTTGCATGTCATGAGAGAATCAGTTTTATATACATTATCTACATTGTAGCCATTGTGAAACTATGAGGCTTCTAGAAGCGATTGCATATTTGTTAGGTGTGTAGACATGGATACCCTCAAGCAAGCGTTTTGTTCGCTGCTATAAAACGAATTCTCCCTGTCTATGCTCTGTCATTTTGTTTATTGCTTCTCAAGGCCAGTTATTTTAGTATTAAAATCATCGGTAGGTCGTGTTTCGGAAAAACAAACTTCGCTTAGAAGGAACGCTAGATGAGTTTCTCTCCATACCTGTTTTGACTGCTACCCAGTGCAATATTATTTTAAATGGCAGGCTTTATGATATTTATCATTAACCCTTAATTGATTTCGGCTTTCACAAGGGGGTTGGGGGG